GCATAAATCAGCGAAAGGGAAAATTATTTATACGACGAAAAGCACGCGCCGCCGCAGCCACAAAGCCAACAAAAACGCAGGTATTTGGATTTATTCTCGCCTACGTGCAAAGCCGAAAGACTTCTGCAATGGCCAGAACTGCTGAATTGACCCGATTCTACGGCTTTATCCTAACCTGAAAGGCCTCGTGAAATATTCTAATATAGGGCAGCGAGTTGTCCATAGATGGCGCCAGTGTGGCCTGTCGCGCCTTCGCGGTTTTTCACGGATTTTTTGGTGAGTTTGACGGTTTGGCAGGTTTTTTTCAGCTACGAACACTCCCCGGGTATAAGAGATGGCCCTGTGAAAATTGCATCCAGATCGCTTGGGCGGTTTGGCCGCCTATAGGGAAGATACATACATACATACATACATACGAACTCAAATATATATTAGATGTAGCATTGTTCCTCCTTCAATGTTCTTTACCCAGTAACGCAATAGAACATTACACCAGGATACACTATTTAAACCATATCATGAGAGGATATATACTATTTTCTTATCTCGGCCCTATATATAGAAGATTACACCCACTGCAATTGTACGGTAAACTAGAGTGGTTGCCTCTGACAGATATGTCAGATATAATTTCATTTCAATTTGTAAATTTTCTGTTTTAATGGACTCATTCAATATGTCTATTAACCATCTGTTCATTATGTGACCGACATGTTTGCAACGTCGAACCAACGCCTTATCACGCCGTTGAATTGACGTATTTAAAAAGACATTTGTCAGATGTTGTGTTTATATCGTTGTTTGATGTCGTGACCAAAACCCAACGTTGAATCAACATCTTATTACAACGTTGAATTGACGTACTTAAAAAGACATTGAATAGATGTTGTGTTTACGCTGTTCGCTGTCGCGACCAATATCCAACATTGAATCAACATCTTATTGCGACGTTGAATTGACGTATGTGTAAAATATAATTGAACAGACGTAATTTTTATCTTGGCGACGTCGCAACCAAAATCCAACGTTAAAACAACGTCGTGTGTCTGCTTGGTACATACCGATACAAACAGGTATATATTTATGTGGCAACTTATAGAATACTATTTATTAAATAATATTAATTTCAAATTTTTCAGAAAGTTACAAAAAGTTTACAGCAAATAATTGTCACTGATGGCCATCTGACAAGTGAATTAATATTCCCGTATACCATTGTGGGTGCAACTAAGTTATGTGGCTTAGTAATTGAATTTTTTATTGATAACTTGCACAGTCTAACCGCAGCCTTCATACGATGACAATACTGAATAAATTACAATCGTACGTCATAGCAACCTCATTACTCGTAAGAATTAATCATTTAAATATTATCAATTAATTTAGCCTACTAATTAAGTTAATTAACAATATTGAGCAGGGTGACTATGATGAATTAATTATAGGTCTATACATCAAACACGCATGAATAGCTTCCGCTCACATCGTTGTTGCTAATAGATGACATTACAGACATATAACTATTAGTATAGAGGTGATATGTGTGTAACATATAATTATGTGGTATATGGGACTCCTAAATTCTTATTCGTGTTTGTTATCGATAAAGTGCATTTGCTCGTTAGCTTGCATGTATTCAGGGGGCGCCACGTGTCCCTGGGCGAGACGCTGATGCCAGTAGTCGGACCGGTATGGCTCCACAGCAGGGCCCCACTCTTTGGAAGGTTGCAGGCCTCTACGGAGTCGCTGCAAAAACACAATACGTATACTAATTACGTTACGTATTAATAACGTACTACTACAATTCGAGCTGGTCTAAACGTAGACACCCGAAACATTCTATAACAGTCGCTCAGATATAGGCTTCAGGCATGTATATGTTACATTGCCATATAGACTCGTATGCTCTCGCATGCTAAACATTGACTAAAACGTGTAAGATTCTATATGAAATATAACGCGCGACAAGAGATAAAAACAAATAACAATGTCACACATACCTGCCAGAGTGAGCCCCTTCTAGCAACGCGTGTTAGATAATAGACAGCGTACATAGGAATCATGAGAATTGACATGGCAGCCAGAGTCCAAGCAGCAGCTATGCTCCACCGTGGATAGTCGTAGTCGAGGTATGTGACAGGCTCGCTTGTGATGATAGTAAAACTCAAGATAAACTGAAAGAAATGTTGACCGACAATTAATGGCGAGTTAATATGTTTACGTGCCAGCACTTAAAACTTGGCATACCGCACCACCTCTTTCTTAACAGAGATCCTTGGAGTTTCTACGCAGGAAACATAATCGAGTCAATCCGCACTACTAGCTTTCCCGTTCCCCCTGTCTCCTTATTATATTATAGTATATATATATATATAATATAGTATATATATATGTATATGTATATGGTGCGTGTGTGTGTGTGTGTGAGTGTGTGCTGTGTGCGTGTGTGTTGTGCTTGTGGGTGTCGTGTCGTGCGGCGCTCTTTGCACGATCTATTCCGCTACCGTCCACTTCTTGCTCTCTATTCTGTTTTTCTCCCTTTCCGCTTCCGCAGCTTCTATCCTTGCTCTCGCTCTCTCTTGTCGATCTCTACTCTCTACTCTCAGTCTCACCATTCTGCTCTTCACTCTCTCTCTCATCTCGTCTCGGTCTGCCTCTTGCTCTCCTCTTCATCTCTGCTCCTCTCTCTCTATCTCTCTATCATTACACAACCCACACACATGCACGCCGCCGCCCCGCACGCACGCACGCACGCAGCGCACACACGCCACACACGTCCACTACACACACACGACACACACACAAACACGCACGAAGCACGCACACACACGCTATCACTACGGCATACGCACATGCACACGCCACGCAGACAACGCTGTGGCCCACAAGCACGGACGACGCACACACGCTCAAAAAAAACACACCCGCCACCACTTCAGTGTTATTTAGGGTAACGCATAGCCTCGTTCGCTCGGCTTTTGAAAGCACGCCCGTATCTTTCAGACTGCCAAATTTCTTAACCCCCCCTTTCGCGTGCTTTTTGCAGAGTTTTTCCTGCCTTGGGAGACCCCCTAAACTCCGGAACACTCCGTATAGACTGTACCCTGCCAGTCGCCCACCCTTCACTCGCGCGTACGTATCGCTATTGCTACAGCTCGACGTAAGTGACGTTAGTGTAGCCCGTGTGGGCAAAAGTCGAACCGGGTACATCAGTCTATACTACGTAGTGTAGAGTTCAGATGGATTGAGGGGAACCTATACGGGACAATCCATTTTTTATTTTTCAAATGAATAATACCTGAATGAGCTTTCAAAACACTAGCAGGAATTTCAGGAATTTGCATCCCGGGATTTTATAAACGTCTTTCTACTGATAATTACAACATGGAGAGAGACGGGAGAGACGAAACACACCCCCTTTTTTAAAGAAATCTGCCCGGGTGAAAACTCAAAATACACGCCCCTTTTTTACAATTGCTTGGGCGGCGGATTTTTGTCGCGCGCCAAAATACGTCTTTACCGGAGATTTGGGAACGCGCATGCGGTCCTTATCGCGCACTCGGAGTGGGGGGGGGCGGGACCACACACACACACCACAAACACACACACACACACACACACACACACACAGCGAACACACACACACAGCACACACACACGCACACACCGCGCGCGCGCGCATATATAATGATATATTGTTAATCATATATATATATATATATATATATACTATATATATAGACTGTTGCGCTTGCAAAGTACTTACACAAGGAGAATTGCTGGTAGCAATGAACTTCCAATAACTTCCAATGCAACGGATGCTTGCTCACCACACTGGTCTGCCTACCATTAATGTCACCTCATCTAACAGTCTGTCGGCTCCTGCGGGCAACATTGAACTGTGTACGTACCACTAATCATTGCTTATCAACGAATACTATTAGCTGCTAGTTTCATGGACTATTGCTTCCCTATATTCGATTACCACAATTTCTATATTAAAGTTAGTTAAATTAATTACTTTACCTATTTTAGAGAATCCTCATCACGAGCGATGCGCGCATTTAATTTGTAAATAGTAAAAAGTGCACATCCACATTGTAAATAAATATTGAAATTATAAATTGTAGAAGTCAGAATATAGTTGTACCATAAACGAACGCTTATTGTCCCATGACAGTGAAAGCACTTTGCTGATACAGCCAGACACAATAAGCCCGGTATTCCTAAAGCAGTACCAGTCTAGGTGAGAATGAAAATGTACGAAGCACACGCCTGTACACAACAATAAAGCCAAACGGTTCAGATGTAAGCCAGCATTACGCGATGCAGCTATAAATATAGCTGAATGGCCTTCTCAAGCATTAGCGATTTTAATTTTCGCGGCACACTGAACACAAATACGACAGGAAGGGCGCATGAATCGTGACCAGTGAAGTTTCAGGCCCGCCGATTAACATCGTCGATCTCTCTCTGAAGAACGGAAAGATTAAGAACTCGGTAGAAACGTACTCGTGTTGTCTTAAGGCCAGTCCACAGTCAGAAGGATAATCCGCACATCATCAAAACGTAAGCAGACGATCATTTCTCATCTTTTAAGTCCCTTGATGGGGGAGGATGTCTGCTAATAGAAGGTGATACTGTCTGGCTAGAGATACAACTGTAAAATGGATCAGGAATCGTCGCTAACGAAAGTCAGAGAACGTGATGGTTAATAATAAGATGACGGCATGTATTGCGACTGTTCCATAGCGCTATGTGCTATAAATACAGTTTAAGAACCCGATAACGAAATACAGTGTGGAAAAAGATATCGCGAAACCTTAGCTCAAAGCGCATTTATAATTTTTTTGTTCTTAGACGAATTTTCTTTATTATAGCAAAGGATGTTTAGGCGCAGTGGAGTACAATTTCGCATGGCATTGTTAATTTATAATATAGTGCTTTACCCTGAGTATCCAGCGACACCGTGAAAACATGAAGAAAGAATAAACACTCCACTAGAAGGAGAGATCTGCCAGGTCTGTTATTGGCTTCAGGGTATTGGCTATAACGCTCCGACCAGGACCTGTAGGACAAATTTCTAAGAGTGAGATTCGCACACTTGTTATATATGTAGACACTTTTAATTTGCAAAATGCGTGCTATTCATGGCGTGCGGTGGACACACGATATTCACGCGCATACAAACACAACACACACACGAGCCACACACACACAGCCCGCACACACTACACACACACACATCAAACACACAACGCACGCACGCACGCACCGCCACGCGCACACACACGCACACAACACACACGCACCGACACACACAAACCAAGACCACACACCCATCACACAATCTAAGCTACCTACCACCAAGTAACGATGTCTTGAATGCCAACTTGAGGCGACTTTCGCCATGATATCAAGGAGACAGAGAAGACGACTGAGCCAGCAAGGAGACTGGATTAGCAACTGTTCACAGACGGTACCGAGGTAATCACTCTCTAAAGTAACAACATATTCATGCGCCGCACGATCACACTTATACTCGTATAACTCCACAAGCTCCACGGCAAGCAAGTTATCGTGGTTTATAATTTTTTAATATGCTCATAAATCAACAGCATATAAAGATTTTGTCTCAATAGTATTAAAGGCTACAAGACGGCATGCATTGTTAATTTTTTTTACTCATCTTTGAAGCTTCACGAAGAAATTACAGATATTCAATGACTCGGATATTGTATATGCAGTTACGAAAACGAGACTATAACGAGCAGCCAATATGCTAGAGAAACACTTCGTGCATTTACTTGAATTAGGTACTGTGTCAATAGCTCATAACATTAACATGTGTTGTGGAAACGGCTTGTATGATGCCATCGTAACCACATCGCACGCACCGGGCCAACCCTGGTCCGAAGTGAGTAAAAGTATGCTGCAATCAAGGCGCAAACCCACAAACCTGAAACATAACAAGCCTGACAGAGATATATCAAGGTTATTTTGGTATACCATGTCTGTAATTGTGTATACACTGTCTGTATTACATATATCGCCGTGTAATTGAAGATGTAGCATGACTACTGACGAAACTTTTCATTCGTAATTATTAATCAACATATATTGGTTGAGGCTGAGTTTGTTGAGGGAACGGACGAACCTAAATTCAAGCAGAGGCTCCCATTCGGTAAGATAAAACTTGATGCCATTGTAAGCATCACGCGGCAGGAGTCACACTTTCACTCAGCAGTTATAAGGAATCACATAAAGGAAAGGACGGTGAGTACCACCTGCACTAAATCAAAGCAATAAAAACATTAGTTTATCTTGAGGCGGTGTGTGGCTTTGTAATAACAATAATAGATATCGCACACATAAATCAGTGCAGAATACAACAATATTGAAAGCCATCTTTTCAAGCGGCACTTGCCGCGATGCCGCTAATTGTACTTTCCGCGTTGAATTGATGCCGCTAAGACGAGGCAGACGAAGAACGATGAGCAGCCAATTGCAGTAAGCGCAGCAGCGCTTGCCAGTGAACGCCACG